TAGAGCGGTGTTGACGTCCAAGTCACTAGCAGTATCGTCGTTGCTTTTTAGCCAATTGTCGTCCACTTCTAACATGTCGAGCAGGGTTTTCAACGATTTGTCTACACGATTCCAGCTTGTCCTTGTGTTGCTGTGTCGTAATTGGTTTGCGTGTTTCCGCATCAGTCTTCCTTCCACGGGGACCTCATAGTTGACCTTCCCAAGGCGTTTTGCGACAACTCCTTGCTTCCATGTGTGAGTGTGGGGCTTTCTCCGCTCTGCCGCGTTACGTCGTCTTCCCTTATGGAATTTCCTTCGAAATAGAACCGTTTCTCCTGTCGTATTGCTGCTTCATCTTCCTTCCATTTTCTTCGGCGTACAACCTTTTCAATGATTCAGTTCTGTCCTCAAGACATCTGTGTGGGGTGGTTCGGTGTGCTTGCCGTATAACATTGAACGTATCCTCTGACAGTTTCTCTTCCCCTTTGAGGTTTCTGATTCCTCTCTTCAACGTTTTCTTCAACTCTTCTTTACGTCTGGGGTTGCAGTTGGCCTTCACTTCAGCCATCATTTCTATGTGGTACATCAAATTCTCATTTGCTCGAATCCATTCGAGACCCAAAAGTGAGCTATGCGGCGTCACATAGGCGTCTCCTTCAGTAGTGACACCTTTCATGGTAATCTTGCATTTAAGCTTTCCATATATCTTCATGGTATCTCCACTTGCGTTTTTCACGACTTCTCAATGCTGGAGAGCAATCTTCTTCCAAAGTGGGCTTCTCGTTCAGTAACGTGATGTCTGATCCAGTATCGAGAAGGAATTTGACAGAGTAGTTGTTCACTACGGCATCGATGTACACACGGGAAGAGTTTGCCTGAACTGCTGCATTTGCAATCTTGACGATTCGTACTTGCTTTCTCGGACCTCTGTTGTTTCTGTTCCTCGAGAACTTCTCTTTAGTATGCTGAGTTTTCTGCGTCGCCTCTGTGCGACTCGCAGTCTTCTTTTGTCGTAAAGTGTCACAAAACTTTTCCTTGTGACCGACCTTCCTGCACTTCTTGCAGAACCACGGTTTTGCCTGGCATCCACTAGCACGATGTTTGCCTTCGCAGTTCCAACATTCTATTTCCTTTCGCTTCTGGACGGACGTGGCTTCCACTAGTTTCATAGTTCCGGCGACAACTTCACTGTCTCTCTTAAGGCTTAAGAAGTTTTCGCACTCCTGATGCAATTGTTGCAGTGAGACCGTTTTGCCTGCTTTGTGGTCTCTATCCAGTATTGTGATCAGCCTCTGCCTGATCTCTGCCTCCTGCTGTGACTTCAGTCCGAAAATCCACAGCAAGCATTTGATTCCGTCCGAGTCTAGCTCGTGAATCTTTGCTCTCTCGCAAAATTCATTCACACGACCGGTATACGTGAGGAAGTCTTCTGATTGGCTCTTCTCTAGCTTTCCCCATGAAGACATTGATATCTCGTGGTGAACAATGACGACTTGAAATCAAACAGTTGCTTGAGTATGTCCACCGTCTCGGTGAACCCGATTTCCGTCACATCTCTTGGCAGCACATGTCTCTGGTACTTCTCGAAAGATACAGGATCCAGTTTTTCGCAGAGCAATCTTACTTTGGTATTTTCAGAAAGCTGCTTTGCGTCTTCCATGAACACATCCTTGTATCTTGAAAACCATTTGGAGAAAACCATGTTCCGGCCATCCGAGCGACACAACTTTTCGATGCGGTTTAGATCTCAACAGCTGCCTCAAGTTCGGGAGTGCTATGTGCTCCGTCGTATTTGCCAATCTCCCTGTCCGCGTTTTTTCTGCGAATACGACCTTCTAGGGCGGGCGGCCCAGTTTTGGCGATAACATTCTTCTGTTCGTTCATAACATTGGCGATAACATTCTTCTGTTCGTTCATAACATTCCTCTGTTCGTCCATCATTTCTCTGAACATTGTCAAGATGGTGGTCACGTCCATTTTTCAAGTGTCGATGTGCTTGTCCGGTGAGCTGGCTGTACTTCTGTCGATAACTTGTGCTTGGCTGGCACGCTGCTGGTTATCCGATCCTGACCACGTGCCTTACAATCCAACTGTGCAGGTAACAAGGAAAACCGACTTCTATCAGAGCAAGAGTAAAGACTTATCTGCTCGGTCCTCGTCCGGTTCTCGCTGAGAATGTGATATATCGGATAGATAGATAAATAACGAGCAGATATATACGGCTAGTATACTGCACAGTCGAATAAAAGGAGATCCTGCACGAAGAGTTCTTGATTCTTCTTCGTTGCACTATAGACCACTGGTTCTTCTGCTGTGACCAGAATCCTTGTCTTGCTTTGGTCCTGGTCCTGGGCTTCTGTTCTACTTCTTCTTCTTTGGGGAATCTTGGTTTCGTTGCTTGAGTGGATCCTGATCGCCACTGTTGGATATCCTGATCGCCACTGTTGGATATCCTGATCGCCACTGTTGGATATCCTGATCGCCACTGTTGGATCCCTGACTTCTGTGTTGTCTCTGGGAGTGTCGAAATAGACGATACGCACAGTAGGTTTATCTGGCGAGTAAACCACACACAAAACTAACTCAACCCTACCGCTCACCTCTCTTAAATACGCTCTCAAAAGAGGTGCGCAGTATCACACTTTATCAGAGTTCATTCCTCTATACAACATAAATAAAGAAATAACATCTAGTTGTCGTCAGCAAAATATGTTCCCTTACAACATCCAAATTCTGTTAGACGAGCGTAGCAAATCCGGTAATTGGTCGCGTGACGTGCGTTAGGTGGCTAGTACTTCTAGTGAAGCTACCTATTATTAGTAGCTAGCAATAGTAGCGCTCAAGTGCCCTTCGATGCACATTGAATGAGAGGTAGGACGACCTTTTCAGCCGAAGTATAATTGAAATTACCATAAATCAGGACGAGAAGACTCCCAATGGTGGTAAAAGTATAGAATCATTCACGTACTTTGCAAATGGAAAGCGGCAGCGCCCTTGCACGGCACAGGAGGCTGATTCGATAGCTTGGGGACAACAAGGACTTTCCGACGAGGGAGGATTGGTTTTATTTCAGGGGACCTTGTTGAAGGCAGGTTATGGGTACCCACAGGCCTCTTACGTGTCCCAGATTGATAGAGTTCTCCATCTATTGCGCACGGCATGCTAAACGACAGTGGCATGTGGTCCCACGGTACAGCATCGGGATGAGTAAACTGGTGTCAGCTTCCCTCACGCAAACTTCCTCTTCCAGTACAACTCCCCTCTCACAGCCTACCCCTCACCCTACCAAATACCTCAGCTCCCACCAACTCACCAAAATTTGCATTTACTTCTCCTCAAAGAATGGCGACGAGTGGTGAATATGTCGAATATTTGAAAAGGAAAAATAAAGCAGGAACATTGCCCTCGTAGCGCGGAACATTTCCTCTCATAGTCAGATAAACCTCCCCCCCTCGAAATGGAACCCCCCTGTGGAACTCTCCTCAATGATTTTAGTGTGTGTTTGGTAGGTCATCGGTGATCAAAAAACGAATTTATGGGGGCGCCACGAACACATTCGGCGATCACCATTTCAGAGGTGATATCCTTACCATGTAAGGGAGCGCTGTTTCGCAGACGCAAAATAGGCCATAAGGGCGCTAGGGACAAGGTAGGGCAGAGCCCCCGCCCCCAAAGTTGATGTTTCTCATGACGCGAATTGATGGTGAAAAAAGCAAACACCTGAGGGAGAAACTAAATGAGAAAGAGAAAGTGAAAGAGAGAAGAACATGTAGAACCAGGTCATTCGCAGTAAAGTCAGTGTGGGCGAATTCTGTAGAGTAGCGTGAGAAAATGGCGCACTGCCGTTCGTTTTAGAGCTACATATGAGGTGCGCCCAAGCTCGACGGCTGCGTACCTGCTTTAGGTCGCGGATGCGGAGAGGAGTATCTCACACAATTGATTGTGAAACATGCATCTAAGCCTTGGTTTTCTTCGATTATCTCCGTTACTACCTGATAAATAATTCGCTCATTCACTAGAAGTTATTACACCGAGGGGTATTGTTGAGGAAGTGGAAGTTAACAAGCTGGGTCATAAAAAATTCAAAGTTAAATCAATATTCGTTGCTTTTAGAATTGGTGTATGAGTCCAAGGTCTTGAAATCGAGCCGAGGTGAGGACAAGGGCCACTGCAGTCCCTCAAAGGGCCTAGCACTTAGACCAGGATTTGTTTTTCCAGTATCTTTAGTTTAGTAAGTTTACCAGCTAATTATCCATTCTTAACACGTGAGCCTTTGAGTTGCTTTAGTGGCTATAGTTCAGACGATCGTGACGACTGAAAAACGGACGAAAAGAACCGCCTGCGGGAGTGGAGGGAGACCAACAGCGTTCACCCCTTTTGAGTGCTCCCTGATCAGGGTACAGCATCGTGATATGTGAAATGGTGGTGTCAGTACGACCCCCTCTAAGGAGGGTCGCGGTAAGACCCCTCCCCCACCTGAAAGAGGGGCTCGGTGTGAACCTCCTCCCTCCCCAGCGGCCAAATGCCCCCCCCCCCAGTTGTTTCACACAACGATGCTTTACCCTGCCTGTCATATATTGTCCTTATCCTGTGGTTGTACTTCAGTCAACGAGAAGAGGGAATAAGTTCTTTATGAATCCACAATAATAATTATAAGAATAATGAATTATGGACACTTGTCATTCACCTTAACTGGTGGTTTGTCTAATATCCCACGTACCTAATGGTTGATGATGATGGATGGGATTCAAAACTTTCTGTGAATTAGCCTGACTTGTCATGTGCCTTCATTCCTAGAATTGACGAACAAGGTTTCTGTAGAAAAGTGACTTCCAGATGTTTGGCACCTTCAGGGTGCCCATTTTTGATCATTGGCGAGGAAAGAGATGTCAGTGTCTCGCCTGAATCGGGTAGTCCCCATCATTGTTCTTTTCACTATAGGTTACATAACGGTGGCTGCATTTCCACCGCATGTTAGACGCCCAGGGCAATGAAACGGAAGTTTGGGCAAGGATCGGAGGTCATGAGACAGTGAACGCGGGGTGGAGGGCAGCGTTTTCGGTACTCCAGCTTCTCTTTCTTTCAACCTGTAAGTGCTTGAAGTGCTTTGTGCCTCACGAGGTTGCTAGGTGGAACATCTTTTGAAGCAGCCCTTCATTTCCAATGAATCGTCGTGTTCAGGGGCCTGAACATTTTCCAAGTTTCGAATTCACAACTCACCCTACTATGCGCCTCGTAAGGCCCAAAGCAATTCAAACACTTACAGTCAACACTTACAGCGGTTTTTCGGCGTGTCAATCACACTCTCTAGGGACTGAACAGTACAAAAGGCCTTCATATCTTGCGCCGATTTGCTTACCAGGTTTAAGCGTTCAGAGGGATAGGAGGCTTAACGACAAGGATAGGAGCTAGGAGTGCCAAAATTCAATTCGCGCGTTTTGTAAGCAGAGCCACTTGCCTCTACACCACTTCCACTTGCAGCGACAACCACTAAAGACGTTGATGGGGCAGTTGCTCTTGGCCCTCTGTTGTGATACAGAGTGCGTACTTGATCGCTGCCCTTAAATGCACAGCCGTAAAATGGTAGACCAACTCTCTAATAGGCGCGCAGGTTCACCGGAGGGTTTATTGCAGTGACCAAGTGAGGCGCGCTTAACCATCTTCGGCGTGGGTCTTGAGATTTCAGGACGCCCGGGGCGAGTCACCGGCCCCGCGAACAACGAAGACCTCTACCCGGGCGACCGAGTAAGTTTGGTACCAGATTCGTCTGGGCAGGCAATATCCTTACCTGTACATCAGCGGACCCCGTATGTCATTGTTTAGGCCACATCGCATTCAATAAGCCATTCTGATTCTGAATGTAAGTAGAAAGGGTGCCGTATCCCAAAAAGAGATCGATCAGCGGCGGAGACCTTATCTCCTTTACTCCTTTTACCCCTCACAGCAAGCTTTTCTTATAAGCCTTCAGGCCCCCGCCAAGCGCTCTGTTGCAGCATCAAATATTCTTGGGTGCCAGGAGGCCGTGAAGTTGTCAAAAAAGTCTCCTTTCTTAAATCGACACTGGGGAAACAGGAAGGAAGCCCCGCAAAAACTCTTTTCAGTTATGCCAGCGTTTCAAAAACACGTCATGCAAGATTAAATGTAGCAAGTTCGACACAAAGGGGGTTTATAAAACGTCTCTAACTGGGCAGGCCATAACTTCCAGCAATCGTTCCATATTCATGACTCTTTTTCCTAGACAAACGTACTCGACTTAATCTCTAGCAATCAACACCATGACGTAATCGGAATGGAGGGGAGTAGCCTGGGATAATTCGAAAAAACTGATAATAATGCTGTGAGCTGATGAACTGTTGTGGAGTGACTTTTAGGAAGTGAACGTACTTCGCTTGGGAAAAAAACCAGGAGCACTGAGAAATCTCGGTCAATTACGTCCCTCAAACGACTAATTTCCGCTCGATGAGCATTTCGACAAAAATTTGCCTCGAAACAACAAATCTCACCTGAAAAAACCCTGATGAGTGGGGAAAATCACGTTGCCTGAAAGCTTCAGCAGTTTAAACGCCGGAAGCACTGTATGGTTAGAGCGTTTGAAGGAAATCGGCCGCCTCGGTGGTCAACCGCCCGTCCATATTGCGCCTGCCCCCCGCCACAATGATCTCCAAATAGCACACCAGCCCTCAGCCTACCACCACGCTCTCA